CAAGAATTGTAAAAACAGATCAGCCTTTTGCTGTGTTATAAATTGCGGCTACAGAACTAACCATTTAGGGTCAATGGCATCACATGTTCAATAATTCATGAATTACTTTGATGTCACACTCTTTATACTTCTCAGGTACAGACTAAGCAGCACACTAGGGATGGGAATTAAGGTTTGGGTTTAGGCAGCCTGTCTGTGTGAGAGTCTCAAACAAGACATACACAGAGAGAGATACACGAATGCCTGGAGAGGGCAAGGAGAGAAGAACAGAAGACAGGAGGTCCACAGGAAAAAATGGAAGAAAGAGGGGAAGAAAGGGAGAAACACGAAAAGGGTAGAAAAGAGGGACACTAACCATGTATCAACATCATGTCCCGAAGACAAACTGATGGCATCCACCTTGCAAAAATTCTCATCAAAATTAACAAGCACCTAGAAGCCTTAATGTGCTTGTGCTCTTTCTGCAGCAATCCTTCCACTTTCCTTCTTAAATAGCTAATGAAATAAATGTATATAGTGTAAGTGATTCAGGAAAACATCTGCTTTTGATGGTTGAAATACTTAAAAAACTTTCTAGGTAGGACCGGCCTGACAGCTCAGTGAACTAAAGTGCCTGCTTAGGCACTTTACTATGTTCACTTTTCCTTCACATTTTTCACATTTTTAGGACTAGTTATAAGCACATCAATGCCTACCTGCAGTTCTGTATGGAAAAGGAGTGAAATACATTAAGGACTACCATAAATGTACTAACTGTAGAAACAAAAGCTTCCAGGTCACTCAAGATATGGTGTTATACAAAGTAGGTCTAATGTAGCAAGTAGAGCCAGGCTATTTATTTAGGATTCTTCATGTATTTACCTAGAAAGGTTTTTTTGGTTTGTTTTTAAATGTATTTAGGACAGGGTCTACAAGGTCTCACTACACAGATCGGACTCGTAGTGATTCTCCTGTTTTCAGCCTCCTAAGCTCTGGGATTACAGGTGTATGCCACCACGCCCAGTCTCAACTGCAGTCTCTGTGTGTCCCTGGGGCGGGGCTGGCACGGCATGCCAGGGATCGAACCCCGGCTGCTGGGCTCTGCCTAAGCAGGCACTTTAGTTCACTGAGCTGTCAGGCCGGTCCTACCTAGAAAGTTTTTTAAGTATTTCAACCATCAAAAGCAGATGTTTTCCTGAATCACTTACACTGTATACATTTATTTCATTAGTTATTTAAGAAAACTGGCATAGTAAGTAAACAATTTATTAAAACTTAGGGGAAGATGTCTTAATTTTAATAGTGATTTTTATTCTACTGATGACCTGGTTTTATCACTTTCCTA